TATATTCTCAAGAACATCTATAATAGCATTAAACATATTAATGAAACGAGTAACTGTCAATAAATGTGAGCCCCATCTAGTATTACCTGGGCGTGCCAAACTCATTTCTTGAAACTGACCACTTCCACCAGTAAGTTTTCCAGTATTAAGCTTCTCCAGAATATTAGCTTGATAATTTATTCGAAGAGCATCTATACGTTTATGCACCAACCAAATTCACAATAATAGCAAGTACATCCAAAAAATCACCAACCATACAATTCCTACGTGCCACAGATACAATTGTCAACTAAAGCTGGTGAGCGAAGCAATGAACATACATAGCATGTTGGCTCTCTCTAAGAATTAAAGCTTTCAACCCATTGAACTCACCTGACATATTACTTGCTCCATCATAGCATTGACCTCTTAGACTAGATATACTCAACCCGTGTGTAGAAAATATTGCATCAATAGCATCCTTCAGTGATTGGGCACAAGTATCAGTGAAATGGGATATACCCAAAAAACGCTCCTTCACTTGCCCACTTTTATCAACAAACCTTAAAACAACTGCCATTTGTTCTTTCACAGAATTATCACAAGCCTCATCAACTAAAATTGAAAACAAAAAATCACCAATCTCATTGATAATAGCCCTTGTCGTCTCTACGGCCCAACAATTAATCAAATCATTTTGGATGGTTGGTGAAGTCATTTGGTCATTTCCAGGAGCATTACTAAATAATACTTCTTTAATTTCCTTACAACAAGCTGCATACCAGTTTAATAACTTAGTTAGATTTCCTCTATTAAGAGACTATTTTGATTCATCATGACCACGAAATGACAATCTTTGCATCAAGAGAAGTCTAGTACAATCTAGCACCACAGTCAACCTGGTCCTATAACCTTGTTGTTGACTACTACTTTGGCTAGAAATAACGTAAGAGATACTTTGCTTTTGATTCATCAAGTATGTACACTTTGCAAAAGCTTAATTATGAGAACTATCAAAGAGACCGACATGATCTTTCAATGTCTTTTTGTGCTTCCAATCCCTAAAGCCGGTCTTAGTAAATATACGTCCACCCCCTTGACCCCCTCTATCAAGTTTGAACAGGTAGCAATGCAAACAATGCGCAGCATCCTTTTCTATACTGTATTCCAACTAATGAAATTCGGAGAATCATTCTTTTCGAAAACATCTATTATCATTCCCTATCGGTCTTCTTGGAAAATCATGTTCATATGGTTAACAATGACCCTTCTCCAAGTATGCCATCCTAACAACATCTCTAATATTAGGATCATATGATTCGATAGGGGGCGTATCCCTGGATCAGATACAAGATCATCCACATTAAATTGAGCCCGAGACTTCTTTGTGTTATTCAATAACTCTTGTGCTCGACTAGAATCAGTGGCGGGACTAGATCCACAACTAGAAGTAGAAGAATTGGGTATGGACTTTCGTTTTGGTTGAAAAAATCGTTCCATAATCTGCAAAATGTCATCCTAAACGTAAATTCTCAAATCAATAATCATTCCTAATATCATATTCCCTCATCAAATCATAAATTACTCATCATAAATCACAATTCGCAAATACAATTTCGTAAACATAAATTCACATAAATTACTCATCATCAAACACGGGGATTGAAACCTAATGTCAACAAGTTTCTTACTGGAACCATACTGTACATTTAATTTCATGTTTTTGTTCCATTTATAGCATTCTGGAGAAATTCTTTATGTTTCACTAATACATTATCACAACGATCCAATTCTATTAAATTGTTGTCTAATTACTCCAAATATATTTGTCCACAAGTTTGAAGGGTGCTAGAAGACACAGTTGACCTATTATGAGAAGGTAATTCTAATTCTGAGTGTCATTTTTGTTTTCAACTTTTGTCCCTTCATTTTTGCTTAGTTTAGTGCTCAATAGTCAATACTAGACTGTGAACATACAACTTAAATAAGAAGTTCATGTCTAACTTTCTAAGTCTAAAAAATCAAAGTGAGCATCACTTCTAGTGTTTTTTCAGCAACTACCATGAAAGCTAAGCCCAGAACTTTAGATTGTGAGAATTCTAGTGATTTATCTTAATGCAATTTAGTGATTT